AGTATTAAATTGTAGTTGTTGTTGTTAATTATACATTTTTTTTTTTTATCATGGATATGCTTTTGGGCTGGATGTCATTCTTAATATTGTGTTACGATGTCGTGTAATGGACATAAAGATGTAACCCACAAAAAGACCGTCATCGATATAAAGATTGAAATTATTTAATAAATTTGGGTACAGGACTCTAGAACACACACGTGTTTATTGCCACCACGCCACCTGTCGCTTCTGAATAGTGTAAGGGCACTGTCGTGGTTGATAGAACCCTGGTACACACATTTTGTTGTGCTGTTCGATTTATTTTAAAGAATATATTATTAATTACATATTTATATATATTTAATATACACATTTTACTCGTTGGACCCTAGTTATACTTTTAAAAATAACATTCTAAACAAATTTAGTTTTTAATCCGTTAAGCTGTTCTATCGGTATACGTCTCATATAAATTATCATCCGCTAAAGCTGATATATAATGCATAGCAAACTTAACATAGGACTCTGGTATATTGGGAGTGTGACAGTGCCGCCCGCGACGGCCGTCAATTTGCAATGTATACTAATTGTGCTTCGTATAAATAAAATCGTTATGGTGATCCGGACCCGTAATGTTAAAACATATCCATGATTCAAAGTTTTTCCGTGGAGTGGTTTATATTACATATTTTTTTTGTATGAGTCGGATTTTTTAAAAAAAATTTTAATTGCAATGATAGTCTATTCAGTCAATATTCAAGCTGCGTATGTTTTTAATAAACATTAAAAATCACAAACGTTGAGTGGTTAAGTTAAGGGAGGGGGTTGGCTTTATAGTCGAGGAAGCATTTAGTAAAGTCCAAAACTTCGTGAATATTTGGATACAATTATTCCCATAATACAAGGTTTAAAAACTAAATTTTCTTTGAAAATATTAACTGGTCAATAGTCAAATAAAACTTTTCTAGTTATTAAAGTTTATACAACAACATTTAAAATCAATTTTTCAATACACCTTTTTATGTATTTAAAAATTAAAATACGCATAACTTTTCGTATTGATTGATATTTGTCATTTTGTAGATATTTAATATTTTTATTATGAGTCATATAATTTTATACAAAAAATATATATTTGTAAAAGAAGTCTGTGCTGTACATTACAATAATCCTAACATTTTGCAACTGCGTATGTTTTTATATAATGGTATGAATCATAAAAACAAAATAATCATCAAAATCATAATCACAAAAATAATAAGTATACGATTCTTAGAGGTGTTGTGATTTATTTACTTCGCAACAGTCGTTGTAAAAACATATTATCATGTTGAAAAAATACCGCGCAATTTAAACCATATAAATTGTGGAAAAATATTGTATTTAGTTTTAAAAAAAGTATTGTTAGCGTTTTTCACAAAAAAAATTATTTTAGGATGTACTTATTTTAATAAGTTATAATTATAATTAATTTGTGATTAAGGAAAACGCAATACATTCAATGTATGTCTCTCTTTTACGGTTAACGCCCGTATTTCAATAGATCGGGGCCTAGACGGTTTAGTTGGGTATTTTTGGGCTTATAGCTGAATTCCCTAATGCTATCAAACAAGTTGGCCCCAGAGAGAGGTGCAGGCACCAGGTGGCCATTTTCCCTCCTAGACAGTTGCCAGCCCGTAAACAAACCGCCAGTGGTCGAAATTTGAACCGGCGACTGTGTGTTGATACACTGCAGCCTTATCTCACTCCACCACGCAACTGCAGACAATACATTTATAATTCTTATTATTTACCCCCCAAGTACCAAATAGATGAAATTTGTGATTTTTAGAGTTGCTATTCAAGCATTAAAAAAATACACTGTATACAGACAAAAAAAAAAAGTACACATCGTTGTAAAACCAATAGCATCTCTGCTCCACATCGAAGGCACCACTTTTCTGAATTTTTTTGTTAAAGTAGTCAAATATTGTAAGTATAGTATAATATGTTTATTTAAAACAATGTAACCATGTTGAAACCAAGGGTGAACGTAGAATTAAAAATTAAGGACTACAAAAAAAATAAACCTCTACAAATATTATATACAAGCAATAGCCTTAGAGTTTATTTATTTAAAACAATACATAATCTAATATATTTTTTTTTCTTTAAATTATAGCCTATATAAATACACTTTTAATGCACACGATTCAGGTACGTAAGGAAAAAGCATTAAAACCAATAGCCCCCTCCCTAAGCATTCTCCTTTGTCTCTAATAATTTATATAATTGTTCATTTTGAAGTAAGTGAGGGGCTTATATTACAATATCTCCCCTTGTGTCTGCCCTAAACGCACGGCCCTTGTCGGTTATCGTTCATATTGTAATTTAGTTTGCATATTGAATTTTAGTTAAAATGTCTATTTAGTACAAAAACGAACGATATATTTTCATGCAATACAGTATTTTTCTCAACACTTGTTGCGATGTAAACAAAGTACACACATTTTGTTGTGCTGCTTGGTTTATTTTAAAGAATATATACAATTACATATATATATAATATATATACACGTTTTACGCATTGGACCCTAGTACTTTATATTAACAAAATAACGTTCTAAACAAATTTAGTTCATTCTAAACATTCTAAACAAATTTAGTTTTTAATCCGTTAAGCTGTTCTATCGGTATACGTCTCATATAAATTATCATCCGCTACAGCTAATGAACAATGCATAGCAAACTTAACATAAGACTCTGGTACTTTGGAAGTGCAACAGTGGCGGCCGTCAATTTGCAATGTATATTAATTGTGCTTCATACAAATAAAATCCATATAAATACCATAAAATGGTGATACAGACCCGTAAATCTGCGTACTATATTTTTTTATAAACATTAAAAATCATAAACGTTGAGGGGTTAACTTAAGGGAGGGGCGGTTGGTTTAATAGTCGAGGAAGCATTTAGTAAAGTCCAGTACGGGGTGGATATTTGGAAACAATTATTTCTTTAATACAAGGTTTAAAAAACTAATTTTTCTTTGAAAATATTGACTGGTCAATAGCCAAATAAAACTTTTCTAGTTATTAAAGTTTATATAACAACAGTTAAAATCGAATTTTCAATACATCTTTTTATGTATTTAAAAATTAAAACACGTATTTATATAAATGCTAAACCATACCAACGTTGGCGGAAAATGTGAGTTTAGTCAGAATAGCAAAGAGTCTATTTAAGCCGAAAATATGGCAGGTTTTTCGAAAAATGACTAATTATACAAAAAAAATGAAATAATTACCAATTAATAATTTTAATTTGGTACCTACCTAAACATGAAATTACATAAATAATAATGGAAGGAATATGGTAGATGTGTTTAGTATTGGAAATCCGCAAAGTCTTTTTTCAAAGCTTAGTAAGTAGCATAAATATGTTTACAAAAATTACTTAGCTAAGTTATAAAAGATTTGGCTCAGGTTTTGTCTAGTTTAAAATATTTTACTTGTTATATCTATTTTTATATAATAGTATAGATATAATGGTATGAATCATAAAAACATATTTTGTTTATCAATGTATTGCTTAGTTCACAAGGTGTTTCTTTTTGAAAATATTTTTGTTTATTCTATATTAATATATAGTATATATCTTGATATGTTTTCTTCGTTTTACAAAATACCAAATGATAAGATTTTCCCTACATAAACTACGCAACCTATTTATTTAAAATGTATCATAAAGGAGTGAATTTGTCATCGTTTTTTATTAGAAAAATACATAATTATTTTGTCTTGCCAAAATGTATTTTAACGGCACATCAATATAGTAGAAAAGTAATATAATAATGCACTCTAATAATAAAATGTAGACAAATATACAAACAACTAATGTTTTCACGATATTTTATACTTATATCATTAACTATCTCTTTGTAATTAGTCTAATATAGTTTATTTTTAAATACAGGCTTACATAGTTAGATGATGAGCACTAAGCTATACCCTATATTGCGTTTTTAACTCTGCATTAGTCGCGCGGTTATCACATATCACATGAGTAGTCGCGCGTCTACATATGTAGAACAATTACAATTTTGCTAATTAAAATGTAGTATTGCAACATAAATTAATGATTTGACCACATTATTCAATTCTCATATATATTGTGTATTTTGTATCATAGTTGTACAATATTAATTAATTTAATACATATAAATGGAACTGTAACAATTTAAAGGAGAATAAATAAAACAGTATTATTAAAATATATATTTATATGTATAAATACATATATATATATATATATATATATATATAATATATTTATTATGTGTGTGTATCTATATATAGTATAATATAATGTATAACATCAATATATAAAATTTAAAATATACCCATAAACGTACAATGTATAAAAATTATGTACCTGAGTGGTCGCGTAATCTACAATAGTAGAACATGCAACTTTATCGCTCAATATACAGAACTTCACTAATAAATAAGTCCGAAATCATAACAGATATCATCTATACAATGTCATTTAAAGGTATTATAATTAACATTGTGATGAGGAAATCCTAAAACCATTTAAAATAAAATGTATTATCGGTGTACTACAATAGTAGAACGCGCGACTAATGCAGGGTTAAAATATTTGTTTTAGATATAACATACCCGCGATCAATGTTTTTAAGTGAGACGTATTATGTGGCTTTGGTAAATTCGATGGATGGATGGTGTTTTGATCCATAGTGGGAGTACTTGTATAATTATAAAAAACTAAATTTATGTATTTCTGCTATAAAAATACATACATAGTTTCAATGTATGTCTCTACTGAACATTTTTACCTATTTGATTTAAAGATAATTTAAAAACAAACATTATTAAAAAGAGATGTTTGTACTTAACTCTATATAAACTTTTACACTATATAAGTAAATAAATAATGTTAAAGAAACAGCATATTGGAAAAGATGATTAGTAGTCAGCTTAAATAATTTAAAAAAATCATATGTGTTTAAAATTGTAGGCAAAACTATTTATTATGAAGTACATTACATATTTTTTATAAATTGTATGTAAGTGCGGTATTAAAACATTAGTTCGAGTATTATATGATGCTAAAAAGTATTAAAATGTACGATGTCGTTTTGTGTATGATGTAACTGGTCTATATTACCACGCCTTCTCATAAGATAGTGGTTCTGTTTGATTGGTATCATTGATCTGAACTTGAAGAATCACGTCACCAACATACTTGTATTTGCTGCTTTTTACAATGCCTTCTATAGTTGAAATTGCAATACATGTGCCAAGTTCGATAAAAAAAGAATTTATAAATGATTCTGGGTCTAGTACACTTCTGAGTAATCCTAACGAGCGACACAGATTGTTATCCATAGTTCCAACTTAAAAATAAAAAAAATTGCAATATTTAATTTGTAAAAAAATGTTTTTATAAATTACATTACATATAATATTTCTTAAAAAGTTAAAACTTTATTAAAAAAAAAAAATTGCATTATTATATGTAATGACAAAAAAAAGTATAAATATTTACCTGGTAATTCATTTATTACAGTCTGCATAGCATTTCTAACTATGCCTCTTCTTTGAGTTCCAAGACCTGGCAATAAAGTCATATCTGGAACTAATAAATAACCGTATTGTTAACAAATAAGAAAATATAAATTTTTAATAAAGTAGATACTTGAGATGTAAGTACATTTCTAAGAACTGTTTTTTTTTTCAATTTGTCAACCATAAGTATTGAAACTCAATAATCTTGTACCGTGTTAACATTTGTATTAGAAATCAAATTTTAGTTGATAAGAATCAAATGGCATTAGGCCGTGACTAGTTATGGATCATACAAAATTTATCAGTCAAGTTTTTGTTTGTAAGTATAAGATTTAAAATTATTTATTATTTTACGATAAAATATCAAAGAAAACTAATGAAGTTGTAAATTTAATAAAATAAAAAATGCTACATTATCATAAAGATACTCAATGCTTCTTAAGTTCTACTTTAAGTCTATAAAACTTTTAATGTTGATTTAAATAAATCTAAACATTTTTATTTGACAAACTATACACTTAACATGTACAGATCTTTCCGGTCTAAATCCAGCTTCCTTCAATAATCATTCTACGTCCTTTTAAATTTTTAAGTTTTGGGATTATTTAGTTTTGTTTGGGATGTATTGTTGACAATCGTGAATAAATCAAAAACAAATATAAAAAACCTTCTATCTATATGGGATGGAACGTTTTCCTTATATCCCAATTAAAGAAAATGTTTTGTGGTTTTCCTCAAAAATTTAAGAAAGTATAAAAAAAAAGGATTATTATACTTTGCCCTATTAAAAAAATACAAAATTAATTACAAAAGTTACCTTCGTTAAATATAGACACAGGAATAGCTGTAAGAAAAATAATACGGTTTATAAATCCCGGTTTTTTATATTTTATCTATAACAGTCACTTTAAATTAAGATTGCGAGGATTTAACTAAACGACTAAAAACTAAATTTAGAAGTCGCTTTTAAATAAAAGATATAAATTGTATTTTATTTGGATGACTTTCGTATATATCTACGTCAATAGTTACAGGCAGACGTTTCGGACTCATTGCAGAGTCCATCTTCAGTGCCATAAAAAAATGATATAACAATCTACGAAAACTTAAGCACATTCATAATTTTATTTGAGACAGTCACAATATAATAATTCCAAACTTGAAGTAAAAAATAAATTCTTCACTACCTAATTTATACAATATTTATCATTTTTAATTGTAACTTGTTAATATTAACAATATTGAATATTTACTCATGAGAGACGATAACTGTTCTCGAGTTGCAGTCTCTCGATCTATGCAATCTTAAATTAAAAATAAAATAGTATATAAATAAATGATTATTTATGGTATATATGTATATGACTCAAAGTATGATATTTAATATAAATATGAAATATATAAAGGCGATTACACTGTGACAGTCGGTTTGCTTTTTCTGAAATTAAAAAGAAAGTATTATACACTTAAGAAATGTGAAAATACGTCTATAAAATGTAGGAAATAATGTTACCTGGTACAGCAAATATATAAGATATATCTTCTGAAAGTAAAGTAAAATATGGAATATGAAATAAAATAGGTTTTTAATTTCTATCCTGTTATACATTAGAAGATGGAGGCGGAAAACACATGTTGCTTTATTAGGTATATTGAATTGAGTGGACACTATGATACTAACTGATATCAAGTAAATGTACCAAGTAGAACAATATGTAATGATGAGGTTAGGTTAAATGAGAAAACATCTGTGTTGTTTATCATGAAGATCCATTTCGATTGTTGAGTATGATTTATGATTTACAACACAGACAAATTTACATAAAACAAAATTTTCTCTATATTTTTAAAATAACTTTGATTACCCATCGGTACTTCTTTACAAACAAATTTTCTAATTAAATCAGCCATAATTTCTAGAATCAACAAATAATTGTTTGAGCTATAACAAAATACATAATACATAATGCTTTTTAAATGCTTATATCTCTATAAGGTTAAATAGTCACTGCATATTATCCAAGGAAGTGATTTAACCTTCCAACCTTAATTTTCTTTATGTCAATTAAGAAAATTGTTTCTTTTAGTATTATAAACTTTCAGGTTTAGTTCAGAAATTGTAATTTTTAGTTCAAAATGTATTTAATATTCGGGGGAACATAACAAGATAGTTTTATACATTATACAAATCATACTTCCTTGACAATTTTCGAAGGCAAAGTCTGTAATTAATCATTAACACAAATATAAAAATATGTATGTTAACATTAAAATTAAATGTATGTAGAAAATTGTTACTGACTGTTAAGTCTAACCTCCTTCGTATAGGGATCAGCAAAAAAAGAACAGTCAACTGAAAAAAATATTGTTTTGGTTTTTTTTTTATATGATTATTATTTATCCAATCAAAGGTATTAGGAGGCACGTGTAAAAAAGAAATAATTACCTGCTGAAAATGTCAATAAACTGACAAGTGTGAGTGATAAAATAAAACAGTAACATACCGTTTTCATCTGCAAACAATGAAAAACATACAATTATTTTATATTAGACACTGTTGCCAATTAAAGTTTATGTAGCTCCAATACGGAGATATAAAGGTTTTTTTATTAAGAGTACTATGATGTGTTTTACATTTTAATTTTTTTTGTGTTCTCTTTATTGATGAGCGTACATGTGTAAAATTAAAATTTTTTCGTGGAGCGAAGGTCTGATAGGTTTAGTTAACGACAAGAAAATGTGATTAAATGAATTGTTCTTCAAATAAAGTACTATCGATAAACATTAACAAAACAAAAAAATATCATAAATCTTTTCCCTTCGAAAGGATAGAATTGTTTTCTTTATTTCAATTTTTCAACAAAGTTTTAGAGATTTAGATCTGAAAATTAGACCGAAGGTAGATTAAAAACTATAACGTATACAATTTTCTTAAAAATCTATAGTCAAATTTTTTTTTTCTTTAGGAAAATCCCCAAAAATAGGGTAAATTTACACTTTGGCCGTAGTCAGTTTCTAGGTTGCTATGTGTGGGTGAATCATCAGTCAACAGGTAATGAATATATTTTCATTATATTGCTAATTACGATATATGGGTAACTATGACAGTACATTTTTATAGAAAGACGATCAACCATAACCGGATCCATCCTGCACACGACTAAATATTAAATTTTAAGTACATTATTGCTGGTCCCACGACCTCTTCTAAAACTCTATAACTGGTATGAACACACTATCCACAGGTTCGCATCGAAGCGTTTATTTAAAAGTGATTTTATCACTTTCAGTTACAATAAAAACTATAGACCTGTGACTTCTCCGTCCCCACTATGCCCCGACCCCACTGTATTGGCTTTTTTAACATTGGAACAATACTTTCATTTTATAAAATCACGAAGATCTCTTAAAGAATATTTCAAAATGCCAGCTTAAGAAAAAAAAAATTACATCCTAAAAAACACACAAAAAATGCCGTTCTTTCAAGCATAGAATTCAGCACGAAAAAACTTATTGACTAATAAATAGGTTATTTCCAAACTTTTGTGTGTAATCTCACTGAAATTAAAGATGTGTAATATATTTTAAAATTTAGTACCATTTGAGTACAGTAAAACCCTAGAAAATATCATCAAGTTTTTTTTTGTATATGAGGTGGAAACTTTTTCATTTGTTTGTTTTTTATTTTATAATTGAAAGTGCTGTACATAAAAAAAAAATGTTAATCAACACTAAAGATGATTTAAATAGGTATAGTTTATTGAGTGTACTTGCCATATTTGAAGTTTTACAGCGTTCCTTAAATTATTGAACGTACAAGGCAAATATCAATTTTTAAAATAATATACTTGCGAATTTTCGATAAAACTGCGTATCAACCGAAACAATAATATCTAAAAAAAATTTTCAACATGCAAAAATATGTGTGCATGATTACATATTAAAATAGTTATGTATTGAATTTTATAATCAGTTTCTTTTTCATTATTGTGTTTGCAGTCTTTCGTAAAATTTATGTTTGCATCATAACATTTTAAATGTTTTACTTTTTTAAATCGCCACAGGTGTTGTAAACAATTCTGTTATTTTTTTTTAGCTTAATGTGCTAAATATGTTGTTATAAATTATTAAACAACCTTTTTTTCATTTTAGTTTACTTGCTTAGTTAAAAGGCATACGTGGCTTACAAAAATATTTGAGGTTGTTTTTTATATGCTGCATGAATAATACTAATAATAATAATAAATAATAATTTTTAATACATAAGTCTTAGCTGCGCATATATCGCCAATAAGTTTTAAGCTCTATTGTTTTAGCATTTTAAAGAAATTATAAGTATTTAAAAAAAAAACATTTTGTAATTCATTTATTGAGATTTTACCTAATTTAATAAGACTAATGCAAGCATATATAATTTACCTATTAAATGTATAATAATATAATAAATATAGTCAATGACAATTTTTTCGTTGAAAAACCCTCAAAAATTAAATAACATGATAACTGATACATTTAATATGTAAAAAAAAGATTATAAATATTTATTTGAAAACTAGTTACAGAACAGTTTGATAACATTATTCCACATTTAATAGTTAAACCGAATACGCATATTTTAGGAAAAAATTTAAATCATGAGTACCTTTGAACGAATCACTAAGAACTGAACAATCCGGATACTTAACTAGGTATGATACATTTTTGTACGTGTTGGAGTAATCCTACACCTTTATTATATTATCACGAATGTGAATATTGAATATATTTTGTGCACAACAGTCTAAGTAATCACAAACGGTATGTTTGAGTTTTATTTCGACTACCACTCCACCTCCTCATCTCACCTATGGCCACTACCACCGACCGTATCAGATTACCGTGCCTTGCCGCTTCAACAACTGCCTCTGTACCGATTGTTTTTGTTTTCTACGCACCATTTGTTTCTTTTTTTTTTGCCACACCGTTTGTTTTTGAATTTTATTGAACATGAACATTATATTTTCCTCTATCTCCACTCTTATTTTTAACCACCTTTTAATGCAATTTCACATACATTGTGTAAATGAGCAGTAGATAAATAATTTAAATAAATAATTTAAAAAAGAAAAAAATCAAAACGATTACTTCATAATTATCTACAATTCCTATTACACTTAGAAACCAAAAACCTATATCTATATTATAATCTCTATCTAATAAACTAATCCTATATAAATCCTTTTTTCGTCTAGTCTGGTCCTACGGCATCCAACTGTGGAGCACAGCCAAACCCTCCAACCCTAAAACACTCCAGGCGTTCCAGTCGATTTACTTGCGGTTAATAGCCTCTGCCTCTTGGTATATCACAAACCGTTATAATATAACATAAAGTGTAATTTCCCAATTTTATTTTTTGGTTTTTTTTAATAAAAAAACAGTTTGAGTGCAGATCTACCTTAGGTCAAATTTTCAGACCTTAAGCCCTAAAACTTCAACTAAAATTACGTATAAGGAAAAAGTTTCCGCCCCTTCTATAGATAACCATCAAAATATAACATTTTTATAAGCTAAAAGTATTAGAAATCCACATTTAGTTATATTAATTTTATATAGTAGGAATTATTCAAAATGTGTTTTTATAGTGAATATTGTTTATCATAAATAATGTTGCGTAAAACAATGTATAATGTTTTTATGACTTGATAACGGCAGTTTATGCATTATTTTACAAACATTTAGGGCTTTTAGAATTTACATTGTTCAAAAATATACCCCACCTACTCTTCTGGCTTTTTTATATTCTAGGTGTGAATCATAAAAACAAATTTCTGTGTTTTTCATAATAGCTAAACGCTTAGTTTAGAAGATATTTACGTTTTTAAGTAAAATAGTCAGGTGTTGTTTTCATCGTTAATGTTTTTTTTATGAAACTAAGAATTATAGCTGTTCAAAAAATTGTTCATGAATTTTAAAAACTTGTTATTGTTAGAAGCAAATGTACTTTATTAGCATATTTTGTTTTGCTGTTTGTGTAGGAAACTATTCAAGTATTTGAAATATTTTCTAGCATAATCGTAAAACCCTAATGTTTGAATAATTATAAAAAAATAATTATTTTTCTATTGTCCTTATGTAAACATTTATAATAATTATAAATATATGCTCGTTTTCGTTATTGTGTTAAATATTCTCTGGCATCTTTTACGTTACCTTTTAATTTTTTTAATATACATATAGGCCATAGTTATTTAAAAAATTGGTTACAATTTTTAAGAACTTTGTTATTGTCGAAAACAAGTGTATTTTTTAACCTATTTTGTATTACTGTTTGTGTAGGCACCTATTCAGATATTTGAACTATTTTCTTGCATGCCTGTAAAACCCTTATGTTTCAATAATTATAGAGAATAACTATTTTTCTTTATTAATCTAAAATATTATACCATTAAATTGTCTTTATGTAAACATGTATAATTTTTAGATAATGTTACTTTAATTTTGATTTTATGTAAATTTTATAACAGACCTATTTTCTTAAAAGCGATATATTAAAGAATGAAGAAGGCAAATTAGAATAATTTATTAAGATATCAGAAAATATGAACACAACCATAAAAAATGTTCTAACAAATACAACACATATAGGTGAAAAAACATTTTATTATAGGCTTTCATATACAAATTGTATTTGTAGAAATGTAGTATTACTTTGCAAGCAAAATTTAACGTTCATATAAAACACTTTTTTACAAAACATAAATTTTAACTAGAATAATATCTATGTCTATGTTAATTGTTATAGACCTAAGGTAAATCTATTGTATATCTTTTAAACCACTGAATCGGTTTCTCCTTGCTGATAATCTATAGATTAGGAATCGTATCTCAAAAGTTCTATATAAGGTAAAAATGTAAACGTTCATTTCTTACACTTCAATATTGAGAAAAATATCAAAACATGTTATAGATTCTCCGACTTAAAAATATGACACTCCATAATTTGTTTGAAAAATAGTCGAATTAACTCCAAATTTGTTCCTATTCCTATTAATAAAATAACAAAAATAATCACAATTACAGTTATAATTATTTATATGTAATGTAATAATATATACAGGATTCTATATAGAACACATACGTGTTTATTGCCGCCGCGCCACCACCATATTGACCTGTCGCTTCTAAATAGTGTAAGGGCACTGTCGTGGTTGCTAGAACCCTGGTACACACATTTTGTTGTGCTGCTTGGTTTATTTTAAAGAATATATACAATTACATATTAATATATTTAATATACACAGGTACATACATAGGTACGTAGACCGAAGCTAAAAACATACGTTTCCATTTGGAAAAACGAAGTAGATTACCTTATTTATAGTACGTATGCGGTACGTGTTTATTTTCAAGGTTATTCTGAACCCGGGATTCCACGATCACACCTGGGCAATTTGTGTTTAATTAAAAAATGTATTGTTTTAAATACGTTTGTATTTTATTGTTCCAAATAGTCTAATATTTTAAATAATTTTATAAAAAATAATGACATTGTATTCAAAATCATTATTAATATCTTTGTAACAAAAACAAAAATGTATTTTTTTTATATGAGTTATTATCTAAATACAATTTTATTTTTATTTTAGTTAGGTATACTATTGAAAAATAATGCTCATGTCTGCTCACTGCACGCTATATATATATATATAGTATAGTAGGTAATATCCCACCGCAACGATAGTAATAAAGAAGAAACAAGACGTAGTGAAGTAGTACCAAGGAACTCTCATAGACCTTAAAAATCTGGCTTTATGATTTATTCTAAATACGTATCCTTCTCATATCCTTTGTTCAAAATTTACTCGGGCAGGCTCAAAAGGATTGTTAGCAGCTCCTTGGCGTTTCATCTTCATTCTCTAACCATTATGCACCTGTTGTTCGTATTTACGGCGATAATCATCTTCAATGTGCTATCACATGCTAAACATTCCAGTTTTATACGTTTTCGCTTACGTTTTATATCACTCATATTGACAAATGAGGTTAAAATATATATATATATATATTCGAGTACACACATTTATAACCAATACTTATTATTTTACACCCGCACACGGGACAAGCAAAAACAAACCCGCTAACTATTTGCCTGCAGACTTAATACTATGGGTTATGTGATATGTCTAAAACAGAAGAGTAGGTAGTTTTTTTTAAAGTACGGAATCCTTTAGAATTTTAAAAGTAAAATAAAAATATATAGGTACTTATAAAGGGATAGAATGTTTGCTTACAATTGACCAATAGGTCTCAAGACCGAACGTCGTTTGTTATAATATACACCACAGTTATTATAGACAAATAATAATACCTACATCTGTTAATATCGGGAATAACCGAAAATGCGTTGTTTTTTTTATACTAAAAACTAAAATTATATTTTCGTATAGTCGTCCGTATGCCAACTATTCACTATTCAGTCGCCAGATTCCAATAAAAATGATGTACCTACCTACTTTTATAAAATTAAAATAATAAATATGTTATTTGTATAATTTTATGGGGGTTATAGTATTTACCGACTTTTTGTTCCGAATGTGACATCCCACTGTGTATACTTGAGTTTTCCGAGTGGGGGGGGGCTGTCAAACCCCATCACACCCCCCACTAAGAACGGCCCTGAGTGACGGCCGTCGATTTGCAATGTATATTAATTGTGCTTCATATAAATAAAATCGTTATGGTGATCCGGACCCGTAATGTTAAAACATACCCACGATTCAAAGTTTTTCCGTGGAGCGGTTAATATTACATATTTTTTTTGTATGAGTCGGATTTTTTCTAAAAAATTATCATTGCAATGATAGTCTATTCAGTCAATATTCAAGCTGCGTATGTTTTTAATAAACATTAAATATCACAAACGTTGAGTGGTTAAACTAAGGGAGGGGGTTGGCTTTATAGGCGAGGAAGCATTTATTAAAGTCCAGGACGTCGAGGATATTTGGACACAATTATTTCCATAGTACAAGGTTTAAAAATTAAATTTTCTTTGAAAATATTGACTGGTCAATAGCCAAATAAAACTTAATAGCCAAATTTAATTTTATATAACAACATTTAAAATCAATTTTTCAATACGCCTTTTTATGTATTTAAAAATTAAAACACGCATAACTTATGAGTCATACATAGTTATACAAAAAATATATATTTGTAAAAGAAGTTTGTGCTGTACATTACAACAAACCTAACATTTTGCAACTGCGTATGTTTTTATATAATGGTATGAATCATAAAAACAAATTTTGTTTATCATTTTATTGCATAGTTCACATGGTATACGCGATTTACACAAAATTGTTTTTACTGCATTTTTTTTGAAAATAGTCTTAAAATAATTTGATGTGTTTCTTTTTGAAAATATTTATGAATATACTATATTAGTATATGATATAACGATTTCTTGACATGTTTTCTTCGTTTTACAAAATGCCAATTAATAAGATGACCACTGATAATCATACGCATATTTTAACAATTTTCCCTATATGAACTACGCAACCTATTTATTTAAAATGTATCATAAAGGAGTAAATTTGTCATACTTTTTTATAAGAAAAATACATAATTATTTTTTCAATATAGTAGAGAAGTAATATATTAATGCACTCTAAAAAAAAATTTAAATAGATATACCAACAACTAATGTTTTTACGATATTTTATACTTATATCATTAATTATCTCTTTGTTATTAGTCTAATATAGTTTATTTTTAAATACAGGCTTACATAGTTAGATGATGAGCACTAAGCTATTCCCTAAATTGCGTTCTTAAGATATTTGTTTCTAGACAATTTATTTGCACCGTTCAAAATGCTATATTTTTTTACTACATTATAACATGGATATGTAATTGAGCTGTATACAATAAATTTCATGTCGCCATTTTCACGTTTCATTCTCACTTAGAGATAAAAGAGATAAGTGATGAGAGATAACAGATAAGTCAATGGAGATAACATATCCGCGATTAAATGTTTTTTAGTGAGACGTTATACGTGGCTTTGGTAAATTCGATAGATGGGTGGTTTTTTGATCCATAGTGGGAGTACTTGTATAATTATAAAAAACTAAATTTATGTATTTCTGCTATAAAAATACATACATAGTTTCAATGTATGTCTCTACTGAACATTTTTACCTATTTGATTTAAAGATAATTTAAAAACAAACATTATTAAAAAGAGATGTTTGTACTTAACTCTATATAAACTTTTACACTATATAAGTAAATAAATAATGTTATGGAAACAACATATTGAAAAATATGATTGGTAGTCGGCTAAAATAATTAAAAAAAATCATATGTGTTTAAAATTGTAGGCAAAACTATTTATTATGAAGTACATTATATATTTTTTATAAATTGTATGTAAGTGCGGTATTAAAACATTAGTTCGAGTATTATACGATGCTAAAAAGTATTAAAATGTACGATGTCGTTTTGTGTATGATGTAACTGGTCTATATTACCACGCCTTCTCATAAGATAGTGGTTCTGTTCGATTGGTATCATTGATCTGAACTTGAAGAATCACGCCACCAACATACTTGTATTTGCTGCTTTTTACAGTGTCACCTATAGTTGAAACTACCATACATGTGCCAAGTTCGATATTAAAAGAATTTATATATGATTCTGGGTCTAGTACACTTCTGAGTAATCCTAATGAGCGACACAGATTGTTATCCATAGTTCCAACTTAAAAATAAAAAAAATTGCAATATTTAATTTGTAAAAAAAAGGTTTTTATAAATTATATTACATATAATATTTCTTAAAAAGTTAAAACTTTATTAAAAAAAAAAATTGCATTATTATATATAATGACAAAAAAAAGTTTTTATAAATTACACTTTATGTAATATAAATATTTACGTGAAAATTTTTGTATTACAATCTGCATAGCATTTCTAACTATGCCTCTTCTTTCAGTTCCAAGACCTGGCAATAAAGTCATATCTGGAACTAGTAAATAACCGTATTGTTAACAAATAAGAAAATATAAATTTTAAATAAAGTAGATACTTGGGATGTAAATACATTTTTAAGAACTGTATTTTTTCAATTTTTCAACTATAAGTATTGAAACTCAATAATCTTGTACCGTGTTAACATTTGTATTAGTAATCAAATTTTGGTTGATAAGAATCAAATGGCATTATGTCGTGACTAGTTATGGATCATACAAGATTTATCAGTCAAGTTTTTGTTTGTAAGTATATGATTTAAAATTATTTATTATTTTACGATAAAATATCAAAGAAAACTATTGAAATTGTATATTTTAAAATAAAAATTGCTATAATATGCTAAAGATACTCAATGCTTCTTAAGTTTTTAATTAAAATAAATCCAAATATTTTGTTTAGACAAACTATATACTTAACATGTACAGATCTTGCCGGTCTAAATCCAGCTTCCTTCAATAACAATTCTACGTCCTTTTAAATTTTTAAGTTTTGGGATTATTTAGTTTGTGTTCTGTATAGGAAGGATAATTGACAATACTGGATAAACCAAAAACAAATATATAAAACCTTTTTTCTATATGTGAAGGAACATTTTCCTCATAAAGTACATAAAGGCAAATTTTTTGTACATTTTCCCAAAAATATAGGAAAATAAAAAAAAAGGGAATATTACAATTTGCCCTATTAAACAAACACAAAATGAATTACAATAGTTACCTGGGTCAGTTCTAGTTATAGGGGGCACAGGAATAGCTGTAAGAAAAATAATACGGTTTATAAAACCCGGTTTTATATTTTATCTATAACAGTCACTTTAAAATTGAGATTGCGAAGATTTATTAAACAACTAAAAACTAAATTTGGAAGCCGCTTTTAAGTTATAGGTATAAAATGTATTTTATTTGGATGATTTTCGGATATATCCACGTCAATAGCTACAGGCCGACGTTTAGGTCTCATTGCAGAGTCCACCTTTAGGGCGATAAAAAAATGATATATTAATCCACGAAACTTTAACGCATTCATAATTGTATTTTTGACAGTCAAAATATAATGATTCCAAACTTGAAGCAAAAAATAAATTCTTCATTACCTTGAACTTATACAATATGTATCATTTTTATTTGTAACTAGTTAATATTAACAGTATTGAATATTTACCCATGAGAGTCGATAACTGGTGTCGAATTTCAAACTCTCGATCTATGGAATCTAAAATTAAAAATAAAATAGTATAAAAATAAATGATTATTTAATGGTATATATGTATAAGACTCAAAGTATTATAATTAATATAAATATGAAATATATGAAGTCGATTACGCTGTAAGTGACGGTTTGCTTTTTCTGAAATTAAAAAGAAAGTGTTATACACTTATTTAATGTTAAATTGTATAAAATAAAAAAATAGTATTACCTGGTACAGCAAACATATAAGATATTTCTTCTAAAATTAAAGTAAAATATAAATTAGTAAATAATATAGGATTTAAATTTCTATTCTATATACATTATAAGATGGAAGTGGAGAACAGATGCGCTTTATAAGGCATGTTGTATAGAATGGACACTATGATAGCAAAGTACAAAATTCTATTAGTTATATCAAGTAGAAGAAAATGTAGTGATTACATTTGGTTGAATAAGATAACATCTGTGTTGATTATCATAAAGATTCTATTTCGATTGTAGAGTTTAATTTATGATTTATAACACAGAAAAATTTACCTTAAAACAACATTTTTTTTGTCATTCTTAAATCACTTTTAAATATTTTATTCTTAAAATAAGCAAGTTCATCTTTATTTTCACTATATTTTATAATAACAGTGATTACCAATAGGTAGATCTCTACGAACAAATTCTTCAATTAAATCAGCCATCATTCCTAGAGTCAACAAATAATTGTTTGAATTATAGTTAAAGATTTATTTTATAATGCTTATAACACTATAAGGTTAAAGAGTCACTGAATACTGCAATTGACTCGTCCTTCCAACCTTATTTTTCTTTATGTAAATTATGTAAATAATTTCTTTTAGCATTATAAACTTTCAGGTTTCATTCATAAACAAGCACCTTTTACACTCTTAATATGAATAGTTTATAGACAGTTAAATTTTTGATTTATAATTTACTTAATATTCGGGGGAACATAACAAAATAGTTTTACACAGGGTGATCCAGCATGAAAGGTAAGTAATAGGTGATTGGACATCTGGGGGACCCCCAAATGAGTCCCCCGTTCTCCTTTTTTCGATAAGTCAAAAATTGAAGATTATGACAGTTAAGTAAAAAATAATTACTTAAAAAAAAAAAAATTATTCCATGTTATTTAGTGCAAAAAGCTCACCATAAAAGAGGGGTCACATCATTTTCAGTCCCTTTCGGCCCCTAACTCAAAAAATTATAAGAGAAAAATGATTAGAGACCAGAAATAAATGATAAGTGATAAAAGATAAATGCTAAGACATAATTGATAAAAGATAAAAGAAAAGAGATAATTGGTAAGAGATAAATTATGAGAGATTAGAGATAAATGATAAAGAGATTAGAGATAAATAATTAGAATAAAAAGATAAGAAATAAATGATAGATGATGAGATGAATGATTAGTGTTAAGAAATAAATGATTAGAGACTAGAGGTAAGAAAAAAATGATAAGATAAGTGATAATAGAAGAGTTAGGGGCTGAAAAAGAATGAAAATGATGTGACCCCTCTTTTAAGGTGAGCTTTTTACACTGAATAACATGGAATAGTTTTTTGCTATTTTGGGTCATTATTTTTTTACTTAACTGTCGAAACCTTCAATTTTTGACTTATCGAAAAAATGGAAACGGGGGGCTTATTTTAAGGCCCCCCAGATGTTCAATCACCTATTACTTACCTTTCATGCTGGAACACCCTGTATATTACACATATCATACCTCCTGTACAATGTTGCAAGGCATAGTCTGTAATAAATTATTAACACTCATATAAAAATATGTATGTTTACAGTAAATAAAAATGTTGTATGTAGGAAATTGTTACTGACTAATACATCTAACCACACACGTATAGTTATCAGCGGCAACAGAACAGTCAACTGTAAAAAATGTTATTTGGTTTTTTATTATGATTATTATTTACCTAATCAAAGGTACCAGGTACGTGTAAAAAAGAAACAATAACCTGCATCAAATGGCAAAATACTGACAAATGTAAATGATAAAAAAAAATAGTAATATTTCTTTTTCATCTGCAAAAATTTAAAAACATTAAAATTGTTTATAATAGACACTGACGCAAAATAAAGTTTATGTAGCTCCAATGCGGAGATATGAAGGTTTTGTTACTTAGAGTTCTATGATGTGTTTCCACTTTTTATTGTTTTTGTGTTCTCTTTTATGATGAGCATATAAATGTGAAATTATAATGTTTCGTGGGGCGAAAGTCTGATAGGTTTAGTTAACGACAAGAAAATGTGGTGTCCTGTGAGAGCAATGAACATAAAAAAAAGCTGTATTACTAGTGGTGGAGAAAAATGTTAGGGATGTATGCATATACAAGGTTAAGGTTTCTTAAGGCGACGGTCTGGTGTGGTGGCCTGTTAGAGCAATTAACATTAAAAAAAGCAGTAGGACCAGTGGTGATGGAAAAAATTATGGATGTATGCATAAACACTTTTAATTATATACTAGTAGAAAGGAAAATGCCAGTAGAGTAGAAGGAGATATGTAATACCTATATTAAAAGGCAGGGGAGATATTACGAGGATCTAGAAACTAAAGTTAACTTAACTCAAGAATTAGAAGTGAGATACCTATATCTAAATACCAGTTTGGTTTTATTTCTGTGTAAAGTTATTTTGATTTATTGAATCTGTAACTAAATATTTTTAAACACTGGAACAATACTTTCATGTCATAAAATCACGAAGATCTCTTAAAGGAAATTTCAAAATGCCAACTTAAAAAAAATTTCATCCAAAAAAACACAAAAAATGTCGTTCTTTTAAGCATAGAATTACAGAATTAATTAACTTATTGATTAATAATTAGTTTATTTCCAAACTTTTGTGTATTATCTTACTGAAATTTAAGATGTGTAATATATTTTAAGATTTAGTACCTACTATGTATAGTAAAACCCTAGAAAATATCATCAAGTTTTTTTTTTTGTATATGAGGTGAACATTTTTTCATTTGTTTGTTTTTTATTGTATACCTGAAAGTGCTGTACATAATAAAACATTCTACATAATACTTAAGATAATTTGACTATGTATAATTTATTGAGTGTAATTACCATAATTAAAGTTGTATAGTGTTCCTTATATAGTTGAACTTACAAGGCAAATACCAATTTTAAACTGTTTTAAAATTATATTCTTGCGACTTTTCGATGAAACTGCGTATTGACCGAAACAATTATATAATAAATAAATTTTTTAACATGCAAAAAAAATTGTACATGATAACATATTAACACAGTTTTGTACTGAATTTTTTAATCAGTTACTTTTTCTTTATTGTGTTATGTGTGCATTATACAATTTTAATTCTGTTAATTTGTATAGTTTAAAGTGCTAAATATGTTGTTATGAATTATTAAAAACCATTTTTTCATTTTAGTTTACTTGCTTAGTTTAAAAGGCATACGCGCTGTACACAAATATTTGAGGTTGTTTTTTATATGCTGCATTATTTATTTTTGATACATAAGTTTTAGCTGCGCATATATAGCCAATAAGTTTTAAGCTCTAATGTTTTAGCATTTTTAAGGAATTATGAGCATTTAATAAAAAAAATGTATTATTCTCTATTTATTGAGATTTTACCTAATTAAATATGATTAATGCAAACATATATTATTTACCTAATAAATGTTAAATTCAATAGTCAATAACAATTTTTTCATTGAGAAACCCTCAAAAATAAAATAACATGATAACTAATACGTTTAATGTGTAAAAGTAAACTTAATGTATATTTATTCGAAAACAAGTTATTGAACAGTTTTATAACATTATTCTACATTTAATAGTTAAACCGTGTACGCATATTTTTTTCAAAAATTTAAATCGCGAATAACTACAAACTTGGAACGAATCACTGAAACTGAAAAATCCGGATAGTTAACTAGGTATGGTTTTGGTACGTGTTTGACTAACCCTACACCTTTATTTATGTTATCACGAATGTGTATAATAAATATATTTCATGCACAACAACAGTCTAAATAATCACAAACGGTATGTTCAAGTTTTATTTTGACTACCAACCCACCAACTCATCACCGCCGACCGTATCAGATTACCGTGCCGTGCTGCTTCAACAACTGCCTCCGTACCGATTGTTTTGATTCAACAAAACCGTTGGTTTCTTCTTTTTTTTGCAGCACCGTTTGTTTTTAGATTTTTTTGGACATTTATTTTTCCTCCAATTCCACTCTTATATTTAACCACCATTTAATGTAATTTCATATACAGCGTGAAAATAAGCAATAGCTAGTTTTAGCTAATAAATAAGTAGTTAATAAATATATATGTTCTCACAGTTTCTAAAGTTGTTATGCCTTCGGAAAAAATAAAATTATAAAAATGACAATGTCTATTATTGTAAAATGACATAATACTTAAATTTCTCCGAAAAAAGGAAAAATCACTTAATTGTGATAATTTAAATAAAAAATGAGTATCATATTATTGAAGAACCATCAACAGTAGAAGAAAACTCCTCACGTTAAATATAATAACTTGAATACAATGCTATTGTATTTAAAAATTAATAGTTATAGTAAATTATGTATTAAAACGTGTATCATGTAATATAGGGGAACCAGAAAGAGTTAAAATAAAGATAAAGAAATGCCTATAATATTTAAACTTTTTTGTAACCTCATCACGAAACATTTCTAATATAAATTTTAATTCTCAATACAAATGTTGTTGTTAATTATTTAAATTTGATTTTTATTCGACATCGCTTTTAGCCTCGATGCAGAGCAGAGATCCTATTGGTTTTGCAATGATGAGGGCTTTTTTTGTAATTATACACTGTAACTTTTTTAATACTGGACCAAGTAGATAGGTAAAGTTAGAACTTTTACTGGTTTTCAATTGTCTCCCGCTAAATTTCTCTCGAATAGATTCTGTATTTGAATTTATATATAATATTTACATATAACGCAACGGCTCAAACTTGAATCTTTTTTATACGATTTCCGATATCCAATTGATCGTTTGTTTATCATAATTCATGATATTATTATATTACAGGCTAATTCGTACATGCACGTCCGCGTTATCTCGGTTAGGCTTTCTCAGATTTTTTTATTAAGTATAAGCGATTGTACTTTTAAATTTTGGAGTACAATCTATTGAAACACCAATTATCGACCATTACAACTAAATTTAACAAGACATTGAATGTGTACGTGCAATGTTTACAAATTAGCATCAACGTGTTTATTTGAAAGTGATTTTATCCAAAAGGAAGAGTACAGTAGGGTCAAGACATAATATAATCAAAGCATAGAGGAAACGGAGAGGTCACAGGTCAACTTTAACTATTTCTTACTATGCTGGTTTATACTGTGGTTTGGACTACATTGAAAATACTGATACGCTTTCAGTTTTAATAATTCCTCTTAACCTGTGACCTCCCCATCCCCAATATGCCCTGACCTATGCATGCTCCATCCTCACTATGCCCCGACACCACTGCACTGGATTTTTATAAATAGGGTTTCAAATTTGAATAATCACTTAATGACAAATACTTAATATTGGTAGTCTCCTAGATGTGGTGCTGAATGAAACTTAAAAAACAATAAATATCAAGTTATTACAACAATATGTATTTTTATTATGTAGACTTCTTAACTGATGAGCGGACAGATCCTGTTATGTCTCTTTTATTAACCATTGAACTTTTTTAGCTAAAATAGTTACTTACAGAAATAAATGGCAGTTAAAAAAAAACCTATGACTACCCTGTGATAACTATTTATTTTTCTATTAAGGATAGGAATACATAGCTAATAAATATTTTTAATTATTTTTCATAGTTCATCATAATTATAAGAATTCGAATATCAAGCAATTTTTTTTAATTTGCAACATGTTTTTAAAACGATGAGGTTTCATGTTTTTTTTTATGTTATTCTGCGCCATGTCACTCTACAAACAAGTAAGTATATTATATTGGTTTGTACAAGTGTGAGAAAAAATTTGTTTTTTAAACGAATTCAGTTTGGTTGGCTGTGTTTGACCGATTTTTTGTACTGTAGCACTGTATATTTACATAAGTTATTGCGAATAACTATTTTGTATACTCGTATTTGACCATCGTTGAACTGTTAAGAATGATTTTATTTGATATTTTACCCCTCAAGACATATTGTAACTGCATTGCAATTTGCGTTTAGTGCATAATTACTATACGTTAAGATTAGAAAATACGAGATCAAGAAGAGAATGGTGAGGGTTTAGTACGTAGTTGTATTGATAAAGACCGTGGAGAGTGAGTCTTTCAGGAATGGTGGTATATTCAGAAATTGACTGGGAGAGGAAACACAGGCCATGTGTATCATAAGACTATGAAATAAATGGTAAATTATAATCACCAGTAAATATAAGGTTATGGTTTGGGTATTTTTGAACGATGAAGTCGACTGTGTTTAGGTGAGCAACATAAAGATCAATGGGTGAAGAAGGTGGTATATATACACTGCACATTAGAAGTGAACAAATAGCTGTTCAACATTATTATTAGGAATGATAAGGGGAAAAGAAGCAAAGTCTTTGCGCACAGTGATTAGCACGCCACCACCGCGAGTGCAAGAGCTAGTGAGAGGAGACCTGTCCCATCTGAATGTATTGTAATTTAAGAGACCATGCTCGGAAGAGTTAAAATTACTAGAGAGCCAAGTTTCCGTGAGAGCAATAAATACATAATTAAAGCAAGAGGTGTTACAATTAAAAGTAATAAGTTTAGTCCGAAGACCCCGACAATTCTGATAATATCCATTGAAGTTGAAAGAGAGAGACGAATCAGTTAAACGTACATAACACAAAGACTTATATACCTATCATCATAACTAAATAAACAATCAAAGACTTCTTGTTACAGTTCATGAGCGTCTTTAAAAATTTAACACAATCTTGCACTTCGGTTTCCGTGTAAACCCTATCATTACTTGCAACGGTATCCACATATTGTCTAATTGATCTTGTATTAGGCACTTGTTGTGTTTCATACTCATTTAAATGAGTAAACAGAGTTAATATCAAGAGGATATCAAGTATAGAAGTTCAGAAAAATCGGTTTTCTTATTTAGTAACATAATCCAAAAAAAAAAAGAAACCTAACTACTACTTTTTCCGAGATCACATTTCGTAGTCAATAAATATTACAAATCGCCGTTCAATTGAGTCTATGTTCAATGTAATCAATATTTAATATGGTAATAGGATTAAAAAGTTATTGAAGCACAAAATATACAAATACTCTAATACGGCATATAATTTAGCATTGCGTGTTTTTGTTTTTTGTTTTTCGAGTCTGTTTAAACAACTTTAATAGAAAACGTTATTAACGATCGAGTTATTATTATGATATACGTAGAGACATAGATTAAAAAATCATAATGCAGAAAACATCAAAATATAACAATTTCATAAGCTAATTGTATTAGAAATCGACATTTAGTATTATTCACGGTGTATAGTAGGAATAATTGAAGATGTGTTTTTATAGTGAATAAACAGCATAAATACTTCTGTGTAAAACAACGTGTAATATTTTTGGCAATAATGACACACGTATGTATAAAAGTTTTCCCATAACACAATACATTTAATGATTTTATATGTAGCACCTAAAAATTTGTAAAAAATATTTGTATTATTCAAAAATACTCTCCGTCCCTCCTATGCCCCAATCTTACTCTAATGGCTTTTTTATATTCTATGCGTGAATCATAAACACACATTTTGATATCTTTATAGTATTAGGTACTCGCTTAGTTATTGTTTTTGAGTTAAATATTTAGTAGTTTCTTATATTATGTTATTATTTGTTTTTAAGAATTTCCTATTATCAAAAACAATGAGTATTTTTTTGGGGTATTATATTTTGTTGCTTGTGTATGAAACTATTCAAGTATTTGAACTATTTTCTAGCATAACCGTAAAACCCTAACGTTTGAATAATTATAAAAAAATAATTATTTTTCTATACTAAGATACTATATTGTTTCATTAAATTGTCCTTATGTAAACAACATTTATAATAATTATAAATAAATGCTACATTTATTTTGATTGTACGTAAATTGTATAACAATCCTATTTTTTTAACTACGATAAATTAAAGAAAAAAGATTAATTTAATTAATTTAATTAATCACAATAATGGCATAAATTTGTATAGTCTTTTATAAATAAATATATGTCCCGACCCTATTGTACTTGCTTTTTTATGTTTCAGGTGTGAAACATAAAAATGTATTTTGGGATTTTTCATAAATATTAGCTCCTTGCTTAGTTTTCGTTTTTGAGTTAAATATTCTGTAGTTTCTTTTACGTTACCTTTTATTTATTTTATATAGGCCATAATTGTTAAAAAAATTGTCTCCGGTTTTTAAGAACTTGTTATTGTCGAACACAATTGTATTTTTTAACGTCTTTTGTATCGCTATTTGTGAAGGCACCCATTCAGATGTTTGAACTATTCAGTCAATATTCAAGCTGCGTATGTTTTTAATAAACATAAAACGTTTTCTTTGAAAATATTGTTTGGTCAATAGCCAAATAAAACTTAATAGCCAAATTTAAGTTTATATAACAACATTTAAAATCAATTTTTCAATACACCTTTTTATGTATTTAAAAATTAAACATACATAGTTATACAAAAAATAAATATTTGTAAAAGAAGTTGTACATTACAATAAACCTAGCATTTTGCAACTGCGTATGTTTTTATACAATGGTATGAATCATAAAAACCAATTTTGTTTATCGTTTTATTGCATAGTTCACAAGGTATTACTGCATTATTTTTGAAACTAGTCTGAAAATAATTTGATGTGTTTCTTTTTGAAAATATTTTTGCTTATGTTATATTAGTATATGATATAACGACTTTTTGACATGTTTTCTTCGTTTTACAAAATGCCAATTGATAAGATGACCAATGACAACAATACGCATATTTTAACAATTTTCCCTATATGAACTACGCAACCTATTTATTTAAAATGTATCATAAAGGAGTAAATTTGTCATACTTTTTTATAAGAAAAATACATAATTATTTTTTCTATATAGTAGAGAAGTAATATATTAATGCACTCTAACAAAAAAAATTAAGATAGATTTACATACAACTAATGTTTTTACGGTATTTTATACTAATATCATTAGTTATCTTTTTGTTATTAGTCTAATATAGTTTATTTTTAAATACAAGCTTACATAGTTAGATGATGAGCACTAAGCTATTCCCTAAATTGCGTCCTTAAAATGGTTTTTTGATCCATAGTAGGAGTACTTGTAGACTTATAAAAAAATTAGTTTTATGTATTTCTGCTATAAAAATACATACATGGTTTCAATGTATGTCTCTACTGACCATTTTTACCTATTTGATTTAAAGATTATTTAAAAACAAACATTATAAAAAAGAGATGTTTGTACTAAACTCTATATTAACTATAACACTATATAACTAAATAAATAATGTTAAAGAAACAACATCTTGGAAAAGATGATAGGTAGTCATCTAAAATAATTTTAAAAAATCGTATGTGTTTAAAATTGTAAGCAAAACGATTTATTATGAAGTGCATTATATTTTTGTTACAAATGGTATGTAAGTGAGGTATTAAAACATTATTTCAAGTATTATACTATGATAATAAAATGTATGATATCATTTTGTATATAATCATAAACAATATATAAATCGTACACCTTACAGGTCTGTATTACTACTCCAGCTGATTAAAAAGTGGTTCAGTTTGATTGGTACCACCGATCTCAACTTGAAGAACTACGCCATCAACATATTTGTATTTGCTGCTTTTTACAACGTCGCCTATAGTGGAAATTAGGTTACATGTGCCGCGTTCGATAACGTCAGAAGTTATAAATGAATCAGGGTCTTGTACACTTCTGAGTAATCCAATTGAGCGACACAAAAATCTATCAATAATTTCAGCCGGGACACCTTAAAAAAAAAAAAAAATTGCAATATATATTTATTTAAAAAAATGTTTTTATAAATTAAATTACATATAATATTTCTTAAAAAGTTAAAATTTTATTTTTAAAAAAATTGCAATATTATAAATAATGTTAAAATAAAAGCTTTTATAAATTACACTTTATGTAGTATAGATAATTACTTGATAGTTTAAATATTAAAGACCGTATAGCATCTTTAGTTAATTCCCTTCTTTGAAATCCAAGACCTGGTAATAAGGTCATATCTGGAACTAATAAATAACCGTATTGTTAACAAATAAGAAAATATAAATTTCCCTAGTCCTACACCTCCATATAGCTTGGTCTTCTACATCTCGTTCAATCTCCCTCGCTATCATCATATCACTCTGTAATCCGCCCACCCATCTTTTCTTCGGTCTACCTCTTCCTATTTTGTCCTCTGCATTTATCTTTATAACACCTCTCACTGCCTCTACCTTTTCTCTTCTTATAACATGACCGAACCATCTCAACCTATTCTCTCTTATTTTCTCCACAATTGCCGCATCTCCTTGACTGCCCCTTATGTTTTCATTTCTTATTCTAGCTTCCCTAGCCACTTCACTCATCCATCTTAACATTCTCATCTCCACTACACTCATTCTTAGTTCCGTTTTCTTATCTACTGCCCAACATTCCGAACCATATAACAATGCTGGCCTCACTACCGACCTATTTAATTTACCTTTCAATCTTATAGGCATCCTTCTGTCACACAAAACACCCGACGCTTCCCTCCACTTCATCCATCCACAATTTATTTTATTTTTCACATCCTCCTCGTACCCACCATTTTTCTGTAACATCGATCCTAAGTACTTAAACCTATCAACCTCACACACTTCATCATCACTCATCTGCATTACCTGTTTTACCCAATAACCTTCTCCAAAATCAAACACGATTGTCTCCGTTTTACTCCTACTAATCCTCAGTCCTTTCTCTTCAAGCGCTTCTCTTCATTCTTCAAGTCTCTCAGCCAATTCTTCTGGACTTTCCCCTACCAACACTTCGTCATCCGCAAACATCATACACCATGACACCTCCTGCTGTATATCTTTCGTAATCTCTTCCATTATTAAAGAGAACAAGTAAGGACTCAACGCTGAATCTTGATGCACACTTAATTTTATACTAAAATCTTTCACTTTTCCACACACAGTCTTCAGTCTTGTACTTGCCCCTATATACATTTTAATCTATAAATATCATACACAGTTTTCTTATTTTCTCTCTGTACTTTTCTACAATTTGCCTCATACAAAATATTGGTTCTTTAGTCGATTTCCCTGGCATAAACCCAAATTGATTCTTCGATATTGTAGTCTTACTCCGTGTTTAGTTGGGGAACACAATTTTTCTTCACATTCCACGTAATGGCAAAATTTTTGTGAATTTATTCAAAAATATAGAAAATTTAAAAAAAAAAGGTGGAATATTACACCTTGACCCTTTTTAACAAATACAAAATTATTTACTATAATTACCTCCGACCGTTTTAGAAGGCACAGGAACTTCTGTAAGAACAATATCAAATGATTACACCGATTATAAAAAACCCATTTTTATATTTTATCTATAACAGTACACTTTAAAATTGAGATTGCTTAGACATTATTAAACACCCTAAAATTAAATGTATAGGCCGCTTTTAAATTATTTATATTTTAATGAATAAAAACTTGAAGCTAAAAATAAATTCTATTATACTTTAAACTTACACAATATATATCATTTTTATTTGTATCTAGTTAATATTTATAATATTGAATATTTACCCATGAGATTAGATAACACGTTTCGAATAATTTTCTCTCGACGTATGGAGTCTTAAATTTAAAATAAAATATTATATAAATACATGATTATTTATGGTATATATATATATATGTATATGACTCAAATTATTATAATTAATATAAATATGAAATATATGAAGTCGATTACGCTGTAAGTGACGGTTTGCTTTTTCTGAAATTAAAAAGAAAGTGTTATACACTTATTTAATGTTAAATTCTATAAAATAAAAAAAAATAGTATTACCTGGTACAGCAAACATATAAGATATTTCTTCTAAAATTAAAGTAAAATGTAAATTAGTAAATAATATGGGATTTAAATTTCTATGCTATATACATTAGTAGATGGAAGTGGAGAACAGATGCGCTTTATAAGGTATATTGTATAGAATGGACACTATGATAGCAAAGTACAACATTCTATTAGTTATATCAAGTAGAAGAAAATGTAGTGATTACATTTGGTTGAATAAGATAACATCTGTGTTGTTTATCACAAAGATTCTAATTCGGTTGTTGGGTAAAATGTATGATTTATAATACAGAAAAATTTACATAAAAAAAAAATGTCTTGGTCATTCCTAAATCATATTTATTTTCTTTATATTTTATATTAACTAGATTACCCGACGAAACATCTCCACGAATAAATTTTTCAATTAAATCAGGCAATTTTTCTAGAATCAACAAATAATTGTTTGAGCTATAGTAAATGATATAATTTATAATGCTTTTAAAATGCTTATACTACTATTAACCATGGCAGTAGCTTTTCCTTACAACCTTAGTTTTCTTTATGTAAATTAGGAAAATTGCTTAGTTAAGTATAAATTTAAATGTTATAAATGCTTAAGTATTCATAAACAAACACTTTGTACACTCTTAATCTGAATAATTTGTAGAAATTTATAATTTATAAAATATTCAGGTAAACATAACAAAATATACATATTTTGTATATTATCTACATATATATATATACATTTTTTTTATATAGTATCATACCTTCTTCATCAGCCTTACTGATGTAAAAGTCTGCAATATATTATTAACACATACATAAAAATATATATGATAAAATTAAAAATTTAATTTAGTTAAAATTAAATTTTTAATGTAGAAAATTGTTACTGACTTGTAAGGGTAACCCTCTTTGTATAGCGATCAGCGATAAAAGAACAGTCAACTATAAAAAGTGTTGTTTTGATTTATTTACTATGATTATTATTTGCCTAATCAAAGATACCAGGTACGTGTAAAAAAGAAATAATTACCTGCATTTAATGGCAAAATACTGACAAATGTTAATGATAAAACAAAGTAGTAACATTTAGTTTTCATCTGCAAACAAAAAAAGCATAAAAATCGTTTACATTAGACTCTGTCGCCAATTAAAGTTTATGAAGCGACTATGCGGGATTATGAAGGTTTTATTATTTAGAGTATTATGATGTGTTTTCCATTTTTATTGTTTTTGTATTCTCTTTTACGATGAGCATACAAGTGTAAAATTATAATGTTTCGTGGGGCGAAGGTCTGATAGGTTTAGTTAACGACAAGAAAAGATGGTGGCCTGTGAGAGCAATCAAAATTAAAAAAAGCTGTAGGACCAGTGGAGGTGGAAAATGTTAGGGATGTATGCATACACATTTTCAATTATATACTAGTATAAGGGAAAATGCCAGTTGAGTAGACGGATGGCGTTTTCGTTTATACCTTGTACAGTATGTATTATAATATTTTACATAATACTAATGATAATTTGACTAGGTATAGTATATTGAGCGTACTTACCATATTTAAAGTTGTATAGTGTTTCTTAAATTATTGAACTTACAAGGCAAAGACCAATTTTAAAGTGGTTTAAAATGATATTCTTGCGACTTTTCGATGAAACTGCGTACCAACCAAAACAATAATATCTGAATATATTTTTCAACATGCAAAAATATTTGTACATGATTACATATTAACATAGCTTTGTAGCAAATTTTTTAATCAATTTTATTTTTATTTATTTTTTTTGCAGTTTTTCCTAAAATTCATGTTTGTACAATGTTAAATGTGTTATTTGTTTAAATCGCAACACGTGTTGTAAATAGTTTTTTTGTATTTTTTTTTTTAGTTTAAAGTGCTAAATATGTTATTATGAATCATTAAAACTTGTTTTTTATTTTAGTTTACTTGATTAGTTTAAAAGCATAAGATATTATAAGCATTTTAAAGAAAATATTTTATACTCCATTTATTGAGATTTTACCTAATTTAATGAGATTATGCAAATATATATTATTTACCTTATAAATGTTAAATAATAAAATGAATCCAGTCAATAACAATTTTTTAATTGAGGAACCCTTAAAAATTCAAATAACATGATAACTTATACATTTCATGTGTAAAAAAATATAATGTATATTTATTCGAAAATTATTTATTGAACAGTTTTATAAGATTATTCTACATTTAATAAGTAAACCGAATACGCATATTGCATCTGCTATTCCGAATGAATAAGGTTAAATCTCAAATTCAAATTTATTGTGAAACCATATTTTTATAAAACATAGCTTCGGCTTCTAACCAAAATTCAAGCTGTTAGTTAAAACATAAAAATTACTATTAAAAGACATTTAGAGTGGGACATTCACTATGAACACCTCATGTCAATCGAAAGTAAATTATGTTTTACATTAGATAGTGCCATAAAAAAAGGGCTAATTCGATGTTACCGAATTTTGGCAAGAATTCGACGTATAACTTTATCGTGGCTTAAGTATTATGCTAAAAACCAAGGCCATTGAAATAATATACATGTGCGAAGCACATAATTTACAATATTTCAAAAATACATATTCCAACAAATACTATATTTGTGTAAAACGCGTACACCTTCAAACTAAGCAAGTAAAATAAAAAACAAAATATGTTTTAATGTTTCATACCATTACACACAAAAAAAGATACCATAAACAAAATATTTTTAAGCTAAAAATGAACCTGAGCAAAACCTATCATTATAGGTTAAATAATTATGAATTAAACATTATGAAGATAATATACTAACGTTTTTGAAATGTATTATAAAAGTACTTTTACTTAGAGATAAAAAAGGGATAAGAGATAACTCTATATAAACTACTTCACTATATAACTAAATAAATAATGTAAATAAAAAAAGGTATTGGAAAAGATAAAAGGTAGTCATCTAAAATAATTTTAAAAAATCGTATGTGTTTAAAATTGTAAGCAAAACGATTTATTATGAAGTGCATTATATTTTTGTCACAAATGGTATGTAAGTGAGGTATTAAAACATTATTTCAAGTATTATACTATGATAATAAAATGTATGATATCATTTTGTATATAATCATAAACAATATATAAATCGTACACCATACAGGTCTGTGTTACTACTCCAGCTGATTAGAAAGTGGTTCTGTTTGATCGGTACCACCGATCTCAACTTGAAGAACTACGCCATCAACATATTTGTATTTGCTGCTTTTTACAACGTCGCCTATAGTGGAAATTAGGTTACATGTGCCGCGTTCGATAACGTCAGAAGTTATAAATGAATCAGGGTCTTGTACACTTCTGAGTAATCCAATTGAGCGACACAAAAATCTATCAATAATTTCAGCCGGGACACCTTAAAAAAAAAAAATTGCAATTTATATTTATTTAAAAAAATGTTTTTATAAATTAAATTACATATAATATTTCTTAAAAAGTTAAAATTTTATTTTTAAAAAAATTGCAATATTATAAATAATGTTAAAGTAAAAGTTTTTATAAATTACACTTTATGTAGTATAAATAATTACTTGATAGTTTAATTATTAATGACCGTATAGCATCTTTAGTTAATTCCCTTCTATGAAATCCAAGGTCTTGCAATGAAGTCATATTTGGAACTAATAATGACCGTACTGTTAACATACATGAAAATACAAATTTTCCTAGTCCTACACCTCCATAGAGCTTGGACTTCTTAGCAAATATAGAATTATTTACAATAATTACCTCCGACAGGTTGAGCAGGCACAGGAATGTCTGTAAGAACAATATCAAATGGTTACACAGATTATAAAAACTCATTTTTATTTTTTATAATAATTTAGATACTTGGGATATAAAAACATTTCTAAGAACTGTATTTTTTCAATTTTTCAACCATAAGTATTGAAACCCAATAATGTTGTACCGTGTTAACATTTGCATTAGTAATCAAAATTTGCTTGATAAAAAGCGAATGGGCTTAAGCCGTGACAAGTTATTGGTCATACAAGATTTATCAGTCAATGTTTTGTTCGTTAGTATAAGATTTACAATGTTATATTATTTTACAAAATAAATATTTAAAAAAAACTAGTATTGTTAAAAATTTTAATAAAAAAATGTATTTTCTAGTTCTTTTTCTTCTTTATCTTCGCCTTACATTCCTAACCACATGGGGTCAGCCACCCTAATTCTACACCTCTATAGAGCTCTGTCTTCTACATCTCGTTCCATCACCGTCGCTATCATCATATCACTCTGTATTCCGTCCACCCAAAACTGCTTTAATACCCTATAGACACTCATTGCTTCTTAAGTTCTACTATAAATCTATATAAGTTCTAAAGTTTATTTTACTAGTGCCAAACATTTTGTTGTGACAAACTATGCACTTAACATGTACAGATCTTGCAGTTCTAAATCCAGTTTCTTTCAAAAATAATTATGCGTCTTTTTAAATTTTCAAGTTTTGGGACTATTTAGTTTGTGTTCCTGTTTGGCAAGTATACCCAACAACCATGGATAAACCAAAAAAAAAAAATATTAAAACCCTTTTTTCTAGATAGGAAGGAAAAATTTTCTTATATCCCATGTAAAGGAAAATGTTTTGTGAATTTGCTCAAAAAAATAGGAACATATAAAAAAAGGGAATATTATACTTTGCCATATTAAAAAAAATACAAAATGAATTACAATAATTACCTTCGTCAGTTTCAGGGGGTACAGGAACTTCACCTAACCAGAAAAATAATACGGTTTTTAAAACCCCGTTTTTATATTTTATTTATAACAGTGAAATTGAGATTGCGAAAATTTAACTAAGCAACTAAAAATTATATTTAGAAGCCGCTTTTAAGTTAAAGGTATAAATAGAATTTTAGACAGTCAAAATTTAATGAATCAAAACTTGAAGCAAAATACAAATTTTTGATTAGTTTGAAATTTATCATTTTTATTTGTAACTAGTTAACATTAACAATATTGAATACTTACCCACGAGTAAAGATAGCACGAATCGAGTATGAATTTCTCGATCTATGGAGTCTTAAATTAAAAATAAAATGTTATATTAATACATGATTATCTATGGTATATATATATGTATATGACTCAAAATATTATCATTAATATAAATATGAAATATATAAAAGCGATTACGCTGTAAGCGACGGTCTGCTCTTTCTGAAATTAAAAAGAAAATATTGTACACTTAATGAACGTAAAAATACGTCTATAAAATGTAGGAAGTAGGTAATAATATTACCTGGTACAGCAAACCTATAAGATATTTCCTCTGCAATTAAAGTATAATATGGATTATTTAATAAAATGGAGTTTTTAATTTCTATCCTATGATACATTAGAAGATAGAAGTGGAGAAATGATGCGCTTTACAGGGTGATTCATTTTGGGTAAGACCATCATTTTCTCGGAATATATTAATATTTTCAACAAAATGTTGAGGTACAGATTGTACTATATTTTTCAATATTTTGAACATTTTGATCACCAAATCTTGTAAGCCATAAAGGGGAATTTTTTGTTTTTTTCAATGGTATCATATATTTTTAATTTTATGAATATGTAGACAAAAAAATAAAAAATACGTTAGCGTTTGAATTTTTTATTTTCATTTATCTGTTCATTAGCTATGACTTTATAAGATACTACATTTTCTCGTAATAATTATTAAATTTCTTCGGTTTTCGAAAACCGGTGGCACATAAAATTCACATTTATGTTCGCGTTATCCAATTGGCGATAACACTCTAACAACAATATCATAATGCGTGGTTATTTATTATATCTGATTATGATACGGGTACGGTAACACGTAAAATTATTTGTATGCGATGTAGTAAAACTACTCGTCTTTGTAGTAACGATTAAAATTATTAAGAAGTACAGTCCAAAAATAAAATCTTTATAAAGTCATAATAAATGAACAAATAAATGAAAATTCAAAATTCAAACGCTAAAATATTATTTTATTTTTTGTCCACAAATTTATGAAATTAAAAACATATGATTCCATTAAAAAAAAACCAAAAATCCCCTTTTGTGGCTTACAAGGATTGTTGATATAAACTTTTAAAAATATTGAAAAATATAGTACAATGTTTACCGAAAATTCTTGGAAAAATTATTATATAATTAAATAATATAATATTTAAAAATTATATTCCGAAAAATTGAGTGTCTTACCCAAAATGAATCACCCTGTATAAGGTTTATTGGATAGAATAGACACTATGATATTAAAATAACTGAATTCAAGTAAATGTACCTCTGTGTTGTTCACAAAGATTTTATTTCGATTGTTGATTTATAACACAGAAAAATACATGTATATAAAAAATATTATTTTTGTCATTCTTAAACCACTTGCAATTATTTTATTCTTAATAAAAGCAAGTTTATCTTTATTTTTTCTATATTTTATAATAACTGTGATTACCCATCGATTCTTCTCCACAAACAATTATACAAATTGCATTACCCAAATTTCCTAGAATGAACAAATAATTGTTTGAGCTCTAGTAAAAGATATAATCCATGATGTTTCCAAATGCTTATATCTCTATACGGTTAAATAGTCACTGCATATTATCCAAGGAAGTGACTTTTCC